TCGTGTGCCGTGCCGGCCTTCATAGGTGCTCGCTAACAACACTTGCCCCTACAGTCTATTAAGGCTACATGGAGGGTCTTTGTCTTTTTTATTACACGCTCTCTATTAACTCAGTCTGTTATTGTCGTATCCTCAAATCTTGTAACTCAATTATAACCCACTTCCCAATGTGGTATCGACTGCAAAACTTGGTATACTTATGTCATGCTGATGACAATACTATATTCTATCATAAAAATATATATTTTGAAACAATCTTTTGTATATGTTATGTTTCGGCTTGGGTTTAATTGTCCACGCTCAACTCACGTTGGCTGTAAATCACCACGGTGCCCTTACGTTATGGGCAAACTTCGGGGACACTTCCTGGGCTCGTGGAGCTCTGACATTACTAGTACGGTACATTTCATTAAAGCGTGGTTTTAAAAAAAGAAAAATATTACTAATTCTAGGAAGCGGTAGTGCAGCACTTCACTATAAACCCGAGTTTGATTCCCACTCATGGCCAACAGCAGTGACGATTATCTGAAACGGTTCCTGTGGCTACCCTAGGTCGACTCGGCATCAAATGTACCTGTTGTAGTATGTAAACATCGCCCACTCGGGAGACAAAGGCGGCCTGGTATGGTTTTGGCCACCCACCCCCTCGTGTGCTGCGTTGGCTTTCATAGGCGCTTGCTAACAGCACTTGCCCCAACAGTCTGTACGTGTCTATGCCACTTGTAAACTCAATCTACAGCCATCTACACATATACCCAAACGTATACGGGTACCGTTCACACATGTTTACACACACGCATGATTGTACATAGATGCAACGTGCACATGCATACACTTGGACGACAACAACAACCGCCATTCGTCACTAAGTGGCGGTGACGTCACCACGACGCTTGTGCCAGGCCACGTGCACTTTGAGGCCACACTTGTACACACATACATGCGCACACACATATATACGGTACAGGAATTGCAGGTCTCACTTGCAAAAGAGGTTATGAATCTTGATTTGAAGCTTTCGTGACTGCAGGAATCCATACTGTTTTGGTTCTTTCGGTAAAGTCACGTGGTGGGTATGAAATAAAATATTACGAATGTCAATGGTTAAATAAAGGCTGCTAAATTGAAGATAATAAGTCAGTATCCCACATGCAGGTGGGATGCAAAGGCACGAGAAGTCTAATTAGCTTGCAGATAATTAAAGGGTTCCTGTGAGTGGCGTTCCGGATTAGAGAGGTGAGGTCATGTGTAATTGTCCCTGAGGCCCTAATAGCTCCGTGTGAGGTTTAATTAGGAGTGTGTTATACATGTGATTAGAATCTGTGTGTACATGTACTTTTATGGGTCGTGGGGGATATTTGACCGTAATCACATACTTCGACACTCTCACACACGTACCTGTACATTTAGACACCTGTGCACTCACTCACACATCTCCCCCACCACTCACTCACTCACTCGTCTTCCTCACCACTCACTCACTCACTCATCTTCCCCACCACTCACACACTCACACATCTTCATCACTCACACACTCACACATCTTCCCCATCACTCACTCACCCATCTTCTCCATCACTCACTCACACAGGATGCCCCCCCTTTATAGCCTCAACAAACATTTGGGGCAAGTGCTGTTAACGAGCACCTATGAAGGCCGGAACGGCACACGAGGGGGTGGGTGGCCAGCACCACGCCCGGCCGCCTTTGTATCTCCCCAGTGGCGATGTTTACACACCGCACCAGGTACTCATTTGAGGCTGAGTCGACATGCCTCTCCACACACATCACACACACGGTGGGAAAGGTGGATCAGCTGTAGAGTTAATGGCTCGCAAGCGGAAGGTTTAGAGGGGGTTTACTAATCCCATTACCCCTTTGCGGCCGCTAAAATAAGTACCACTTTCTTGGGAAGTCAGCAGTACTTGGATTATGGATAACCTTACCTTCGCGACATGAATATTAAACCTACATCAGTGGCTTAGGGCTGTGCAGTGTGCACCAACTCAATGCTCATATGATCTGGAAAATGTTTTGACTTTTTTGACAGAAACACCTATACACTGTCCCCACGCACACTTACACACTCATACACTCATATCTGTACACTTTGCACCCCACAAAGACAAAGATCCCCCGTATAGCCTTAACAGACCGTTGAACCAAGTGCTGTTCGCAAGCATTGTGACGCCACGCACACTCTCACACACCTGTAACACACCTGTAACACACCTGTAACACACCTGTAACACACCTGTAACACACCTGTAACACACCTGTAACATACTCTTTGGTTCTATTGGGTAAAGTCACGTAGGTGAAAGTAAAATAACAAAAAAATTTACAAAAAATCACGACGTTTCGGCCACAACACAAGCGGCCTTCATCAGGTGAAGGGACGAGACTTTAATCTACACCTGTAACACTCAACCCTAAACACTTGGCCCCTTCCCCCCAAACACACACATAAAGATAAAGATCCCCCGTGTAGCCTTAACAGATTGTAGGGGCAAGTGCTGTTAGCGAGCACCTATGAAGGCCAGAACGGTACATGAGGGGGTGGGTGGCCAGGACCGCGCCCGACCACCTTTGTCTCCCCAGTAGCGATGTTTACACACCGCACCAGGTAATCATTTGAGGCTGAGTCGACCTTGGGGAGGCCCAGGACCGGTTCAGATAATCGTCACTGGTGTTTGCCGTGAGCGGGAATCGAACCCGTGTTGCCAGGTTCATAGCGCAGCGCGCTAACCACTACACTACCGCTCCCCACACACACTCACACAGACACACACACAGACACACACACAGACACACACACAGACACACACACAGACACACACATCCATTCACGCACACTCTCACACACACTCACATACAGACTCTCACACACACACTCTCACACACAGACTCTCACACACAGACTCCCACACACACTCTCGCACACACACTCTCAAACACACACTCTCACACACACACGCTCACACACAGACTCTCACACACACACTCTCACACAACAACAACCGCCATTCGCCACTAAGTGGCGGTGGCGTAACCTCGACGCTTGTGCCAGGCCATGTGCACCTTGAGGCCACGTGAAGTGTCGAATGCCCGCTGGCAGGAGGTCACAGGGCAGACCCAGGTGCCACGGGTCGACTGACTTAGATGACTGAGATGAGTGGCTGATGCACCACCTGTGCCCCCTACTGTGCCAAGCTGCTGTGCTTTAACCACCCGGCGCTCTGCTCGTTGTTGTGAGCGTCGCTCCTCCGCCCTCCGTTGTTGTTGGAGGGTGACTGCCTCCAACTGCCCAGTAGCGTCCTTCACGAGCCTCCTCCACAGAGGTCGATCTTGACACCGCTGGTACCGGCCATCGGCAAGTCCACTCAGCTCCACATCCTCCTGTACCACATCACTCCATCTCTTCTCTAGCCCGTGCCGCGCCCGTTTAGCCCCCTCGATCCGGCCGAACAAAAGCTGTTTCGGCATGCGGTGGCTGGGCATGCGGGCTACATGACCCAGCCAACGCAGCCTTGCCTGCCGGAGGAGCTCACCGATGAGACCGTGCCCAGATCTTTCAAGGATTTGTGAGCTCCTCACACAATCCAGCCTGGTTAACCCCAGGATGGATCGTAGGCAGGCCAGCCTAAATGTTTCTAACCGGCGAAGATGTTCCATTAGGGGGTGTCCACGTTTCGCAAGCGTAGAGAAGGGAGGGAATGACCGTGGCCGAGAAGACCTGAAGCTTAGTGAGGAGCGACAGACCAGGTAGCTTCCACACAACGTTATGCAACCGATGAAAAGATATTGCCGCTAGACTGATTCGGAGTGAGACTTCTGCTGTTAAACTGGAGCCGGTCATAAGCACACTGTCCAGGTATGGGAAACTCTCCACTCTCTCCACAACTGCCCCATCACCGATTGGGAGTTGTGGGGGTGGAATGTCCGATGGTACAAAATACCCAGGCAGGTGCTTAGTTTTGGTGGGGCTGATGGTAAGGCCCCATCTCTTAGTAGCACGCTCCAGTCTCACTCTCACACACACACTCTCACACACACACAGACTCTCACACACACACACTCACACACACTCATCCACACACACACACACGCTCACATACACTCTCACACACACACACTCTCACACACACACACACTCATGCACTCACACACACACTCTCACACACACTCATCCACACACACACACAGACTCTCACACACACTCACACACACTCATCCACACACACACACGCTCACACACACACTCACACACACACTCACACACACACTCACACACACACTCACACACACACTCATGCACTCACACACACGCATGCCCTGGCCTGACGGCCCACTGACCCTGGCCCCGTGCCGTGCAGCTGCTGGCCCTCGTGAGCCCGCGCCTCTGTGACCTCGACGTGCTGTGCGACCTGCTGGAAGCGGCGCGGTGGCGCGGGGTCAGCGTCTACCTCCTGCTGGGCGAGCACGGATTCCCCGCCTTCTCCGCCGCCTGCCGCCAGCTTGCCGTGGACCCCCTGCACTGCCACGTGAGGCTACTGCGCCCACCCATGATCGCACACATGCGGCAAAGAATTCCCCGTAGAGCCTTAACAGTCTCGATTTAAAGCTTTCGTGACTGCAAGGATTCGTCTTCTTTGGTTCTTTCAGTAAAGTCACCTAGAATGAGAATTTAATTGTGTTATTTCATTAATTTATTATTTTATTCTCATTCTACGTGACTCTACCGAAAGAACCAAAGAAGACCTTAACAGTCTGTTCTGTTTGGGGCACGTGCTGTTAGCAAGCAACACTTATGAAGGCTGGCACGTGCTGTTAGCAAGCAACACTTATGAAGGCTGGCACAGCACACGAGGGGGTGGGTGGCCAGCACCACGCCTGGCCGTCTTTGTCTCCTTAGTGGCGATGTTTTACACATTGCACGATGTGCAGTACTCATTTGAGGTTGAGTCGACCTAGGAGAGGCCCAGGACAGATTCAGATAATCGTCACTGGCATTGGCCGTGAGTGAGTGTCGAACTCGGGTTTTGCCGGGTTCGTAGCGCAGTGCACTCACCAATGGCTTGGCACATTTGAGCCAAGCCAGCGTGGAGCATTCACAGGATGGGCGGATTTCCACTGGCGCAATGTGCTGAGCGGAACCGTGACCAAAACTGTGACACACTGCTGGCCTCACAAGACATATGAATGTACCTCGAGGGCCATTCATGACAACAACAAAAACTAAAGCTGAAAAACGATGGAATTTACAGTGATTGAAAACATTCTTACCGAGGCCTTACAGTATGTCGCTTTTCATGATCAACTGCAGCTTTGCGAAAACACTCCATACCTGCGCGCTCACCTGCCTATTTGTTTCATCAGGTGATACATTCTTAAAAAATAAAGGTAAGGAACCAGTGTTCAGATCTGATTCGTATTTTTTCCCCTCTTCCCCATCAGCAGAACCTGAACGTCCGTAAGTTGGCCACCCCGCGTTTCGTCGCCAAATCCGGCTCGTTTTTCTGCGGGAGACAGCAGCAGAGATTCCTGATCATCGACTGCGAGCACGTGGTCACTGGGACTTACGGGTGCGTTCCACGGGGTGATGCACTGCCCTGTAAAGGTTCCAAATGGTTTTTTTTTTATATATATGTCACGAGGGGGGTGGGTGACAGCAGCACGCCCGGCCGCCTTTGTCCCCCCCCCCCCAGTGGCAATGTTCACACACCACAGCAGTTACTCGTTTGAGGCTGAGTCGGCCTAGGGGAGGCCCAGAAGCGGTTGAAATGAATCGTCACCGGTGGTGTCCATGAGCGGGAATCGAACTCGGGTCGCCGGGTTCGTAGCGCAGTGTAGCGCTAACCACTACACTACAATGCGTTACTCTTCCACACAGACAGACACACACAGACACACACACACAGATACACACACACAGACACACAGACACAGACAGACACACACACAGACAGACACACGCACAGACAGACACACAGACACATACACAGCGTAGCGCTAACCACTACACTACAATGCGTTACGCTTCTACGTGCGTGGGTCACGTGACAGATTTGACGTCACAGCTCACTTGCCGTGCAAAAAATAAATGCATTGTTGAGCTCCCCTCCCCCCCACAAAAAAACAAAAGTTTATTTTTATAATGTTTGCATGGTGTACAGTCTGGAAAGTACCCACACGGCAAATTTCCAGTGTGTTGCATGTCGGGAAGTGCGCTAAACATTTTGAACAGACACACATAATCACAACTTTGCCTTTTATATATGTGGAGATGACATGACGCCAATAGAAACAATTGTAATAAATTCTGGTAGAGTATGAAAACAAATCATTTGTATTTGTTTGTATGTTTTCCTAATCCCTCTCAATGCATTGACCACCCTCCAGGTACACGTGGATGGACGGTCACGTGAATGCACACATGATCACAATTTTCTCAGGCCAAGTGGTCGTCGAGTTTGAGGAGCATTTCCAGGAGCTGTACGCCCACTCGCTGCCCTTGGAGCGAGACATCGTGGCCTCCAGCGAGACCCCACAGCCCGAGCGAGTGCCACCAAAGCTGCAGAAACAGCGGTGTCACCTGCAGGATCAGAAACAGAGTCAGCAGCCGCAGCAGCAGCAGCCAAAAGAGCAGCAGCTACAGCCGCAGCAACAGCAGCCACAGCAACAAGAGATCCAACAACATCTTCCACGGCGCTGCTGTGAGCTGAAGCCAAATGTAGGCCCTGAGAGAAGCCACCTCAACATAGACCACCGACACAACAACGGCCGTCACGTCCAGCAGCCCCTCTGTGTACCCGGTAACATATACGAGCTGGAGGAAGTCTTGGATGGCTGCCTTCTCTCGGGCGTTTGTCCTCCGACGGGGCAGTGCATGAGCCGCTTCCAGAGAGGCCCAATTCCCACCGACCAGCGTGATGTTCATCAGGACCTTCAATGCCAACAACATCACCACCACCGCAACCACCACAACCTCCTCCACCTCCTCGACTGCCCTCAAAGCCACGGTGCACAGATCCACAAGCGAGCTCATCAACTGCAGGATGGTCTCCAGGAGTTGGAGCTGGGTGGTGTCCCGCGGAGCAGAAGGTGTCCCCAAGGACGGGCTCCGTTGGATCAGTGCTGTGGTGGTTTTTGCCGAGGAGTCCCAGCGAGACCGGAAGTGGTGTGTGTGAGGTGGCGTGGTGGTGGTGGTGGTGGTGATGGGAGTCTGTCTGCTGGTAGCAATGATGAGTCTGTCTACGAGGGCCTTTGGGACTCAGGATTTGATGACTAACTAGTGCTACTCTCCCAGATCATCATCGTGATCTTGATGGTGATAGTATGGCTAATGCACCTGATTAAGCAGGATCATTTAGCTGTAACCGTGGGATATAACATGTTGTCCAGCGAACTCCTGCGATGAATACAGTATAGGATCGCATAGAATTAGCATGTATCTAATGCTTGCATGCAATCGCATCTCAGAGTGCTTTAAAATCTGCAGAGAATAAAACATATCAGCAGGGCCCTGGTGAGGAAAATATGAGACAAACTTTAACAGCTAAGATTTTACCACTTCACTCCCATAGAAAAATAGAGCAATACAAAACAAGCCTCATCCCATCTGATACTAATCCTTGTTTGATTAAAAAAAAAGTACATTTCTAATGATGTCTCATCAGATAGAGAACAATTGTTTTCTAATATTAAACCTTCGTCTCATCCAATATAAAAACCCTCGCCTAATTCCGACAGAGGACCCTTGTTTCATCTGACACAGATCCCTTGTCTTGTCCAGCACAGACACCTCAACTCATCTCATCTGACACAGATCCCTTGTCTTGTCCAGCACAGACACCTCAAGTCATCTCATCTGATACAGATCCCTTGTCTTGTCCAGCACAGACACCTCAACTCATCTCATCTGACACAGATCCCTTGTCTTGTCCAGCACAGACACCTCAAGTCATCTCATCTGATACAGATCCCTTGTCTTGTCCAGCACAGACACCTCAACTCATCTCATCTGATACAGATCCCTTGTCTTGTCCAGCACAGACACCTCAACTCATCTCATCTGATACAGATCCCTTGTCTTGTCCAGCACAGACACCTCAACTCAACTCATCTGATACAGAACCCGCACCCCACGCAGAACCCTCAGCCATCTTCACCTTATCACAAGTCAAAAGTTAGTTTCTCCCCGCGGTGTTGATCCAATGGGTGAAATTCCACATTATCATAACGTGGCCCAGTTTTTATATTAGGACAAACCGCTTTTGACACAACATAATAATGAATCCCAAGAGCACAAACTTTGTAAAATAATCCTTCAAGCTGCACACTCCACTGTTAGGCTCATTATTACTAGATAAATCAGCATATACTGTACCTGTGTCTAAGGCCAATGTTAAAATGTATGGACAGTAACGTCACTAGAACACTATAATGATGGGCCAACATTTTTTTTTTATTCCTTGGCATTTAACAACACTTCATAATAGTGAAGGGCAGCCGAGGTTATGACCAACAATCCGCATATACATGACATTAGATCTATAGCAGTTTTTTTCCGAGTTGTAGGAGAGGCTCACAGAGGAAAACATAATATTTTGTGAACATTCCGGCAATAAATGTGTTTCTACGTGTGTATGAAGTTCTGTGGGGGATGGGTTTTTTTTCGTTGGCTTCCGTAGTCTCTTACATTTCAACAATAATCGATTATTATATTGCTGCTCTAAATAGGAATGTTGGTGGTAACCTCGTGACGCCGTCCACCACGAACCCTTCTACTGCTGTGCCCTCTGCCTGCTTCCACCTCCCCCACCACTACCCAAAGCAGCCTCACCCTGTGTCCAGTTAGCGGGAGGAGGAAGGGGCAGGGACTAATCGTAAAGATGCAGGGCCTAAAGAAGGGGCAGGGACTAATAAGGAAGGGGAGGGGGGTCTAAGGAGGAGCGAGCCATGGCCTAAAGAGGAATGGCCGAGGTGCCTACAGAGGTTGAACTTTCCCTGTTGATTTAAGGCGACAGAAGCGTCGAACCAAATGCGTGCAGCAAACAGCGTATAGTTCCGCAGTTGTGGCCACAAGCCAATTAAGTTAGATATGCTGTGTGGCTGGTTGCGTAATTTTTGGAATGTACAATAGCTTTATAAGATCTTAACTCAATTTCGTGGACACACTTAAGCTAATCATGCTAAATTGTGATTATACACCACTACTGCACTCAATACCAATACTAATTCAGTATCTCGATACAGTGGACTGTAAATCTTGAGGCAAAATTCAGTTATCTTATGTAACAGTGACAACATATGCCACATGTGGAAATGCTTTCTTTGAACTAATCAGCACGAACTGTTTGAAGCCACTTTTAAGAGATTAAATAATTAAAAATGTAAAATAAACCAATTACAGCACCTAAACACGTATAATTCAATAGAAAGTACCTACAATAGTTTAATTACAGTCGCTTAAGTTGTGTGTGTTTTTTTATATTACCGGTAACCGCTTCATAAGAACCGGTAAAAAAAAAAACCGCTTAGCAGTTGACCACACATACAGAAATTGTGTAGCGGTTGGCAGCACACTGGACTTGCAAATCCAGAGGTGGTCGGTTCGATTTGAACCTCCAGGCGCGAAAGTAAAACAAAGCAACGGATCAACTTTCCACCATCGCCTGGTCCAGCCCAGTCGTATACATTGGGTTACAACCACACTTAGACCATCGGTTAGGTAGCTGTGGGGGTTACTCCCACGTCTTCCAAGTCGTAAATTGGTCAGCGTGGAAGCGTAGGCCAAATGCCCCTCGATAGCTCCTTCTCGTGGGAGGCCCTTTCCGCCAGCGGTGGCTTGGAGCGAGCAGTTGCGGGGCTGCGCGCGCCTTTTCCGCCGTCAGAAACACGAGGGCATTAGTCGCTACTTTCCCACTGGAAACGAGTACGGTTACCGGTTGCTTGACCTTCGAAACCGGTAACCGGTTTTTGCCGATTGTCGTGTCGTTTAACAACCACGAATCTTAAACCGAAATGTCACGCACGTGTCGTGACGGTGACCCCCTCCCCGCACACACCGTGCGGTTTGTGGTGGTGTGGGGTGGGGGGAGGGGGTTCTTCATTTGACCATACTTCACCACGTTGGTCTGTGCGGGGTGATGAAGGCCGGGTGGGGGGGGGGGTGAAGTATAAACGTGGGAGCGGTACAGTACAACATTGGGGGTGTCGTCTGTTGCCCGTGGTCACCGTAGCTCAATGAACGTGACATAGTGGCTATAAATCTCGCATTTATCGCGCAATCATATTGTGGTGTCGTTTAATTCTGCCGTAGGCAACCGCGCGAGGCACCCACCAAAGTGATGCACAAGGACAATTACCAACAACAACAACAACAGCAGCAGCAGCAGCAGCAACTTCAAAGAAACCCAAACTCAACACATTCGCCAATAATACTGTGTGGTGTGGTTTTATAAGGAACAACAAATATGTAACAGGCGACGTTTCGGGCAACGACCCTTCGTTTTGTGCTACGAAGAGGGAAGCCATCGCCCGAAACGTCGCCTATTGTGGTGTTTTTTCTTGTAAGGCCCCCACACGCATAGTTATTTTAGTTTTTTTTATTTACTTCACCAATATGTGGGCCAACGTTAGCATGTGGTTGGACCCCATTGGGCCAACGTTGGGCCAACGTTAGCATGTGGTAGGACCCCATTGGGCCAACGTTGGGCCAACGTTAGCATGTGGTAGGACCCCATTGGGCTAACGTTGGGCCAACGTTAGCATGTGGTAGGACCCAATTGGGCCAACGTTGGGCTAACGTTAGCATGTGGTAGGACCCCATTGGGCTAACGCTGGGCCAACGTTAGCATGTGGTTGGACCCCATTGGATCAACGTTGGACCAACGTTAGCATGTGGTTGGACCCCATTGGACCAACGTTGGGCCAACGTTAGCATGTGGTAGGACCCCATTGGGTTAACGCTGGGTCAATGTTAGCATGTGGTAGGACCCCATTGGGCTAACGTTGGGTCAATGTTAGCATGTGGTTGGACCCCATTGGGCCAACGTTGGGCCAACGTTAGCATGTGGTTGGACCCCATTGGACCAACGTTGGACCAACGTTAGCATGTGGTTGGACCCCATTGGACCAACGTTGGGCCAACGTTAGCATGTGGTAGGACCCCATTGGGCTAACGCTGGGTCAATGTTAGCATGTGGTTGGACCCCATTGGACCAATGTTGGGCCAACGTTAGCATGTGGTAGGACCCCATTGGGCTAACGTTGGGCCAACGTTAGCATGTGATTGGACCCCATTGGGCCAACGTGGGGTCAACGTTGGTATGTGGTTGGACACGTTGGGCCAACGTTGGCATGTGGTTGGAATCAACTTTGGCCCATCGTTCAACGTTGACTTTATTTTTCAACCAAAATAAAGGGATTACATCGTGAATAGACGTGCGTGGTTTTTTTCCATAATGCAAACCTTTCAACCCGTTCATATTACGGAACAATTCAGACCTCATTGGTCACCCCGTGCCCCTTATAAATCTCAACGTTCATCCTACAAAGTCCCATCACAAGGGAGAAACACTAACAAATAGACACAAAACACAGATTAATTTTTTTTGCCCGTATTGATAACAGCTGTACGCCGTATGGACCTGAAAACTCAATTTCCCTGTACAAGAATACGGGCTTATGGGTTGACAGTTGTTGTGATGGTTACACTCAATTTCGAAACCGACCCAGAGTTTCCCCTTTTGCGTTATTAAACCAATGAAATAAATTGCCGAAAGTCCTAAAACTCCCGAGAAGGGCCGGGTGGCTGATCTGATGGGATGTGTAAAGTAAAAATGAACAATAATAATAATAAACGACTTGCTAGCAAACTTTGTTAAACCTTTGAACCGGTATCGACGTCCAGTGTCTCATCATCATCGTCGTCAATGCTGTGGGTGAACTGCCGACCTCAAGGGGCCGTCCATAAATGACGTCACGCGATTTTGAACGATTTTTGACCCACCCCCCCCTTCGTCACACGACGTCACAATAAGTCAGACCCCCCCCCCTCAAATATGACGTCACAAAGCTCTGCCCCCCCCCCAAAAAATGCTTCAAATCGCTTTAAACTATAGTCATTGTAGTGCGTATTTAATGTGGCGCTGCACTCTGATGATGTTGTAGGAGAAAACATTTATTTTAAAAGTCTATTTAATGAAGTAGAACGTGTTGTCTATATTTATTTAAAGTTGCGCATTTTGATGTGACGTCACTTTTCTCAACCCCCCCTCCTCCCTCGTCACACATCGTTACAAATGTCTGACCCCCCCCTCCCCCTAGGTGCGTGACGTCATTTATGGACGGCCCCCAAATGGTTAAGATTTTTTTTATATATAGTGAGGGAAAAAAGTATGATCCCCTGCTGATTTTGTACGTTTGCCCACTGACAAAGAAATGATCAGTTTATAATTTTAATGGTAGGTTTATTTGAATAGCGAGAGACAGAATAACAACAACAAAATAATCCAGAAAAACGCATGTCAAAAATGTTATAAATTTATTTGCATTTTAATGAGGGAAATAAGTATTTGAGCCCCTCTCAATCAGAAATATTTCTGGCTCCCAAGTGCCTTTTATACAGGTAACGAGCTGAGATTAGGAGCACACTCTTAAAGGGAGTGCTCCTAATCTCAACTTGTTACCTGTATAAAAGACACATGTCCACAGAAGCAAGCAATCAATCAAGATTCCAAACTCTCCACCATGGTCCCACATATACATATATTTTATTGTGAATATACGAACTGTACATGGAGACGTATTGTTTGATTATTTTAGTTTATTATTTTAGGTTCTCTGCGGCCAAATGCAGCGCCCCCTGACGTCCGATGCGCGCACCGACCGCCTCACACATTTTGGCGCCAAAAACTGCAGCCGTTGTTACGCGCTTATATGGTTCACAAATTGACTTGTTTTGGTTTTTATACATATATATTTTTCAAACGTTGCTTATTGTTTCCATCTTCACGCGGGGTTTTAAGGTACGCGAAGGTCGTTTATATATATCTTGTGATAGAAAAATAAATAAAATATATCGCGCCCAACGTGGGGCTCGAACCCACGACCCTGAGATTAAGAGTCTCATGCTCTACCGACTGAGCTAGCCGGGCACTGAGTACTTAGCTCACCAATTTGCCTTGTGTGCCTACTCATGTTGACTCGTTAAACAAAATATAAGAATGATAAATAATTGGCTATAATCATTGTTTTTGAAGAGTGTAGTGGACAAAACGGAGGCTCGTGGGTTTTGTTTAAATTTTTAGAAAGCGAGGATTTTCATTGAGAAGTAAAAAAAAATATATTAAAAAGACATTCGCGCCCAACGTGGGGCTCGAACCCACGACCCTGAGATTAAGAGTCTCATGCTCTACCGACTGAGCTAGCCGGGCACTGGCTGAGCGAGATGTTTAATCGATATTAGTAACTCATCAGAGTCAACACGCCAAATCCAAAACCGTGATATTCAAAGATCTGCTATATATTGACTTCGGAGCCGTCCGTAAATGACGTCACGCGATTTTTGACCCCCACCCCTTCGTCACTCAAAAAGTCAGACCCCCACCCTCAAAAATATGACGTCACAAAGCTCTGCCCCCCCCCCCAAAATAAAACATGTTTCAAATCGCTTTAAACTATTGTCATTGTAGTGCGTATTTAATATGCCGCTGCACTCTGATGTTGCAAGAGAAAACATTCATTAAAAAGTATATATTTAATTAAGTAGAACGTGTCGTCTATATTTATTTAAAGTTGCGAATTTTGATGTGACGTCACATTTCTCAAACCCCCCCCCCCCCCAGTGCGTGACGTCATTTATGGACGGCCCCTATCGTCAAACAAACCCCTGGACCAAAACAGCATAAGGAGGCATTCATTCGTGGGCGATTAGAACATGGTTGATACGGCAATGATTTTGAAGAGTGATAAGAACAAGACCATTTTTAAAAAGCAAGTTTATTTTTTATTGAATGATACCGCCAAAAAGTTCCCATGGCTACGATTGCCAAAAAGGGTCCAACAGACATATAATTCTTTGTTTTTTATGTATATATATATTTTTTCCTACAGCTACAGGGTCTTGCGGAAGTCGTGGAATTCTTCTGGGGATGACCTCGCGACCTCGAGGCAGAAGACGTCGTCGGACGTGGTGGCCAGCCGGTCCAGGGAGACATACAGGGGTTGCAAAGGGTCATACTGTGCCAGGCCCAGGTGCTCCAGGTAGCTGTGCCGCTCCCTCATGGCAATCGTCTTCGCGTTGAATATCTGCCGGGGTCCAGGTTACAGAAAGCATGCTCTCGATTTCAATTCGTCGTCAAGTCGGGCAGGATACCACTGCAGTACGATCCAACTATCCAGTGAACATGCCGACACTGAGCACGCCGTTCCATGTTTCATGGGTAAATGGCATAAGAGAAAATTAATCGCAAGTAAAAGTTCATTAGGGTGTCGAAGTGAGACTGTAGCTCTCGGTGAACTCTGTCGAGTATAAAACCCCATGTACCTACTGCCAAATGTACCTCTTTATATGGAGCCATTCCTTCCTATCCTTTGCAAAATTTTCATTTTAAAATATCATTGGGTTTTGCAAATAAAGTCCCCCTACAATTCACAATTTTCCAGGGCAGTAATATTTAATATAGAGTCAGCCAGTAATATAAGCAATGATCAGCAATTTCCTACCCTTGCTTACCTCTGCAGACCCAAGCTGAATTCTGTGTACCCGTGCCACCACCTTCCTACCCCAGCCAATTGCTCCCTATCACACACAACCTGCCTACCCCTGCTGGCCCTTCCCTACCCATAGTTCTGCCAATCCCTGCATGCTCCTGCCTACTAAATTACTCAATTGGGATTACACATAGCAAACATTGCCCTCTGCCGACAGACCAGTTCACGTTTGCAAAATAGACTAATCCTGGTCTCTTGAGTTCTCACCTGGTTAAACAAAATAAACTTCAAAATACCTCTACCCAACTCTTTCCTCCCACTTCTGACCCCATACCGAACCCCATGCCGAACCCATGCCGACCACGTGCCGATCCCATGCCGACCCCGTGCCGACCTGCGGGAACTGAACGAGCATGTGCTGGGGGAGGCCCATAGTGGCATGCACGAGCGTGAAGACATCCACGAGCTTCCTCTTGCTCAGCACCAGCAGCTTGGGCACCTTGAGGAGCATGTGCTGCACCTCATTGGGCCGGAAGCCCAGCTCCAGCTGCAGCACCTGTATGGAGACGGCGCGGGTGTAGGAGTGTGGGGAGGAGGGGGCAATGAGAGACAACATAACAACACAGATAGCACCCGCCCCCCCCCCCCCCCCCCCCCCATCGTTTTAGATGAAGTCGGCGGCTCAGAGGTCAGGAACGCCGGGCCGGCAGCGCTGAGATCCCAAGTTTCAGCTACTTCACCGTGTTTAAACCAAAGCAACCATGAATGTACTCAGTCGTATTAGATATCGGAAGCTAAGCAGGGTTGAATCTGGATAGCCCTTGAGTGGGTCACCACCATGCTATAAAAAAGGTTGTTTTAGACTGCCAGGCTACGTTGTGGTCAGCAGAGGATAATGAAAAAAAATCCATTGTAGTACTGTGCTACAAGCTCCTGCGTATATGCTCCCTAACTTCAATTGTGAGTCTCTCTGTCTCGCTTTCCCACTGCTCTTCACCTTCAGGTTCTCCTTAACGGGCTCCAGGCTGCGAGTCAAAAGTTTGGGCATCCGTATCATCAGCTCCCGTACCTGCATCCAGTGCACAGAAGCAGCAGCCAATGATTTAAAAAAGAAGTAGCAGTGTGATCATTATTTCTATCATTTTGTTTTTATCCACAATTACATTGAGATTGTGCTAAAACGTAAGGTGAAGTATACATTCTTATCTCTCAGCTGCGCAACCCATCACATTAGAGAACAGAGGTCTGTGGAAGCGAACACCATTACCTCCAAGTTACATTCAAAATGACCTCTGGTGCACACAGTAGGGGACCAGCATTTTCCTACCTGTCCTGCCACTGAGAGTAATGTTCATTCAATGACAGTTAATTGTCAGTGGGACATTAGGCAAATTAAATTCAAAATCAAGGCAAAATGCGAGCCTCGGGTAGCTCAGCCATGCTCTTACAAAGACAAAGTTTCCCCAAACAGCCTCAACACACTCCACCACCTGTTGTCTCCCCATTGCCGAAATTTACACACCATACCAGGTACTCATTTGAGGCCGGGTTGACCTAGGGGATGCCTAAAACGGATTCAAATATTCAGCACTGTTATTGCTTGTGAGCAAGGGACTGAACTCGTGTCATCATGTTTGCGGCGCGGCGCGCTAACAACTGCGCCACCGTTCCCCCACTCAAACACGTACACGCAAGTACACGCACGTGCAGACACATACATACGTGCTTGGCGTTGAGGCCCAGCTCGCTTTGGTAGAAGCCGAGGCGGTTCTCAAGACGTTCGATGCTGAAGTTGAGCAGGAACGGCGCTCCCCGCACCATCTTGGCCACCGCGTCCCTGCCGAACCCGCACGACTCCAGGTAGTGAACCCTGCGGCGACACACATGCAGCGTGCCGCACCAGCTCCAGCATCGTCATTAATGATCTAACGTCGGGGTGTCTTCATAGGCAGAGATATCCTGAAGCCTACGTCAGCAATGGGTCCGAGAGGATGACCACCTGAGATAAGTCCATGTGCAAGAGTGCAATCGATGATGGCAGCACTGGACCGTGCGAGATGGCCATGGTGTGGGGAGGCCTTAATCTAGCAGAGGATAGACAACGGCTGATGATCGTGATCAAGAAGCTATGTAATTGTGATTTGAGTAGGAATTACGTACAGAATGGAGGTTATCATGTTCAGTACTGTACGGTAGTGTTTTCCAGATTTTGCCACTAGATGGCAGATGGCATGACCACCATGGCTTACCTGAACCCCACGTATACTGGGGAGACAAAGGTGGCCAGCTGTGTTGCAAGCCAAACAACCCCCTCGTGCACCATGCCGGCCTTCATAGCTGACATTCACTCACAGCACTTGTCCCAAATTCCTGTGTAGGCTACACGGGGAATCGTTGTCTTTGCCACCTGGCTTGCAGGTTGGAGATGTCCTGAGTGAGCATGAAGGGGTTGGTGGTGAGGAAGGGCCCCAGATCCTCGTCCTGCAGGCCCACGTCGCGCAGGAAGAGTAGCCGCTCCTGCACGTCACTTGCAAAGTCGAGGCGAAGCAGCATGCTCGCCGCTCCACGTAGGCGTTCCACCTTCCACAGCTCCACCCCTAGCACGGCCGTGGGGAGACAGGGAAGAGACAGAGCGAGGCAGAGGTTTAGAGGCAGGCAGATCGAGAGCCAGAGAGATAATGAAAGAGGAAGACAGAAAGATGGAAGACCAAAGTGAAAGAAAGGCAGATGGGGAGAGGAGGAGAGTGAGAGACACTTATGCAGATGAGACGAGAGACTATGAAGGGAGTGAGGAAGAGCGAGACATGGAGCGATGGGGAGACACAAAGCAAAGGACATTGAGCAAACACCGGCAATATATATTGCGTGGGACAGTGTCAATTTGGACAAAGCAAAGAGAGAGGGAGAGTAGAGATTGCAGGCCATACATTTTCCAAACATTTGGGTAAATTTATGACAACTGCACATATGGCTGTGAAGGGGAGACAGTGCATTGTCTCCGAGTAAATCACTTGCACAACGAGATAGCAGCAAGGCTGGGTGATAAGGGCAGCTGGGTGCAGACAGCTGTGGGGTCAGTGTTCGCTGTGGCGTTGGTGCCTTCATGGTCTCACCGAGCAGCACGAGCTGGCGCAGCGTGTGCGAGCGTTCGGCGTACACTGAGAGGCGGTCGGCCCTTGGAGGCAAGGGTCGCGATACCTCCAGGCTCAGCGCCTCCTCCTCTGTCAGTTCGTCCAGTGCTCCCGCCTCGTCTACCTCGTCTGGGACACGCGCACACACATGGCGCGTAGTTCCGCGACACCGCCGACATCCGGTCTGGATACCGCTAAGCGTTTGATCTCTATATCCTTAGCTCTTTCGGTAAAGTCACGTTGAAGGGAAACAATAAAATAATAAAATATATATAAAACAATAAAAAAATTCTCACGACGTTTCGACCATAACACAAACGGTCATCATCAGGTGTGAAAAACCAACGGCAAGAAACATTTGAAAGAAGTGGCGGTTCGCATTTCTTTATTTTTAAAACGGTGTCTGCTAATATTTATTTATTTTTTGAAAACGTTAGCGCCACGGGCAGCGATTTGGCAGTTTGTTTAGAAGGACGAGTCCATCTATGTTCTGAAAAGAGGAGGGGGGAGACGAAAAACTAATGTTTGCTGTCTGAAAGCCACCGTAAGCGTGAACAATCAATTAAGACCTGAAATGGTTTATCAAATCCTTCCAATGATTGCTAAGCTAGAATCCATCTTCTCGGTTGAAATTCTTTAAAACTAAGGTTGAAATTCTTTAAAGCTAAGGTTGAAACCATTAATGCACTTGATCTGTCCATTTCTATTTATACTCTTTGGTTCTATTGGGTAAAGTCACGTAGGTGAAAATAAAATAACAAAAAATCACGACGTTTCGGCCACAACACAAGCGGCCTTCATCAGGTGAAGGGACGAGACTGTCTGGAGGACAGCGCTGGAGTGGAAGAAGCCACGCTTAGATCACGACCTTTAAGCTGTGTGAGAAGAAAAAGACCACGCGCCTTGACAAAGGAATTAGCATATAATTTAGCATTGAAATGGCTCATTGAAATAGCTAAGTTAAAGTATACACATCCGCAGAGGTACCCCTTGAAATAGCTATTTCAATGAGCCATTTCAATGCTAAATTATATGCTAATTCCTTTGTTAAGCAGCGCTAATTCCTTTGTCAAGGGGTACCTCTGCGGATGTGTATACTTTAACTTAGCTATTTCAATGAGCCATTTCATATAGAACCAAAGAGTATGCATCCTAGAAGTCACGAAAGCTTTAAATCATTTCTATTTAATTGGGGGTGGTGGGGGGAGGGGGTCAGTACATACATTTTAATGTATGGTGTGTTGCTATAAGGGATTTACCCTAGAGAAAACTGGCTAAATCAATCAAAAAGTTGCACAAACCTTGGCGATAAAAAAAAAACTGCGTGAAACCAATAATCCTTATCGGCCAAGGCGTACACACGTACCTTTTTTTTATTCCATGCCAAGCAAGTAAACTCACCAAGCGAAGGGAGACCTTTCGTGGCGTCTGAAATATCCCAAACTTCAAGTTTGCGTACGACAGGTATTTCTAAACTAGTCAAAGGCAGGATAGGTCCCGCTAGCTGTCCGGCGGAGGCAGCGGCAGTGTCCTGTAACATCGGCCGGTGTTGCTGGTCGTCTGTGAGCGAGTGGGATAATTTTGCGCCGTTCCACTTCACGATGGCGCCAAATCGACCGGACACACGGCGCAAGCACCGTGCGGTAGCCATCCCGGATGATCTTTTGTTTTGATTTCGGTCCTGTGGGTGTACACTTGTTTCCCCAACCCCCCCCCCCCCCCCCGCCAAGGCGGTCTTGCCACCGGTTGGACGAAGATGAGTGGTGAGATGAGGTCCGAAGAGCACGAATGCCTCACTTTGTGGTGACGATGAAATCCAAGCTTGATTCTGTAAGACCTGAAACAAAGTAATTATTTACGTGATGTGAAATCATTTGTAAAAACCGTCTTGCGCTGTCCCTACTGTGGTATGCATTTTGAAAAATGTATAATCCATGTAACAAGAAATGTTTAAATCGTCCTCACCACTACTGTGGAGCAGGAATCTACAGTGGTGATGCGGAATATGGTTTATTAATCAGTTGCCGTTTAAATGACACACTGCTCATACGATAACAGCACCCTCGTCTCATCCGACACAAACCCTTGCCTCATCTGATAAAGAACCTTCATCCAATACAGAATCGTCGTCTCATCAAAGTGCATTCGTTTGACTCAAAAGTTGTTGCCAACTTTACTCAAGTATCATATTCATAATGATACTATGGTGGACATATTGCCAATGGTGGAAAATCCGCATTCATAGGAAGGGACAAGTCTCTCCAGCTGACACCCATCTGTTCACTTCAATGCAGGCTGTATTCATTTTAACCACCGTGGAGCTAATATGACGATGAACCATTGATGACTGGGCGAATTCGACCCTGATCAGGCAATTAACGTATCTCCTGTCAGTGACATCACCCAGACGCCAGTGAGCCTCGGGTAACACCACTCAACGCCAAGTGTTCTAAGAGACCCTTACTCTGAATCTATGAGCCTTGGGTATTAACACAGAAACACCGAGCTCTGAAAACTCAACATTCCCATAACGAAAACATTAGGACCAACGCTGACTTTCGACACAGTGTTACCGAGTGTATCGACCCCCCTCCCCCCCCGGACAAGATGAAAGGCAGGGACGAGGTGAGACATCTGGACATCTGTCAAAAAGAGCTTTGCAGCTCATCAAATTTCTCCAGTATAAATACATATTCTGACAGCGTTCAATTATACATACAGTGCGCATACAAGGGCGCTCACCTTGATTGGAAACGTATTATCTCCCGAGCGCAGGCACGTTAATGAGAACGTCTCAATAATATCAATGAGATAAATCAAGGCGCAAGAGAAATCTTGGCTGCACGAATGCCATAACTTTGTGATGTGCTGCGGCGTTTAAAAGGCCATCGTTCGCGCGCGTGACCTCCGGGACAAACGCACGTGTCGCGTCGCGCGCACGCACGCGCGCGCGCCCCGACTACGGCGAGCCGCGCGGCCCAAATCTCACTCAGAACGCAAACGCGAATTCACCTTGAACTGTCTATGATCCCAGCCCCTTATCCATTGCTGCGGATGCAAGGGTTGGTGGATCACGCAGAGAATTAATTTTGTAAGTTTTTACGTGGGGTGGCTCAGCGCAATCGGAAGGTTGCGAGTTCGAACCCTGTTTCGTGGAGCTGTCCCTAACTAATCCCGTTATCTTTCTGGGGTCGAAACAATTATTGCCAATACCAATGTTTATATACTCGCCTGCCCACCCCCCCCCACCACTATCCGCACGCCCGCCACAGTAACGTGGAATTTCCACCACTGTCTCTGTCAACCGGGAAGACGGGCCCCGAAATCTTTTAGACCTGACTTTGGGATCCAGCGCCGTCACGAATGAACGGTTAAATGAAAGGTCTGGCGACATCTAGCGCCGCCGCGTCGAGCGAACGCGGCCGCTGAACCCTCTGAAGCGGCGTGCTCCCGGGGCAGCAGCGGCGGCAGCGGCAATGGCCATTCATACGTACGCCGGCACGATCAGGAAAGACGACGCCAACTACAAGCAGCATTTCCGAATGATTAACGAGCAGCAGGTGGAGGACATCACCATCGAGTTCTTCTACAGGCCGCACACCATCACGCTGCTTACGCTCACCATCGTCTGCCTCATGTACTTCGCCTTCACGAGGTCAGGGCCGCAGGCTTTAACCGAGTTTCCTAGTTTCGTTTGCCGCGTGGTTGTTCGCCCCCCCCCCGGCGAAGTGACCTCGGGGAGGGCGGGTTATGTTCAAACGTTATTTATGCGTGGTGTGTGTGTTTTTGAAATTGTTATGTTTAGATTTTAAACTTGTTATATTGTTAGAAGTTATTGACGTTGGTGGATTGAATAACATTGGTGGCGAACGTAACTTGTAACTATTGGTGAAGTATGGCTGGTGGGTTTAAAAAAATAAATAAACAGTTAATGTCGACGATTAAATGTCCGATATTTAAACTGGTTATTATTAATAGTGTTTGAAGTTGGTGGCTTTTCATAAGAGTATTGTAGGATTTCGTGACGTGCGTAGCAATAGTGGGGCAACGTTTCTGAATGGGGAGCGATTGTAACCGTTACCTGTATACATTATTTCTATGTTTAAATTAATACATGTTTCTGAAAAAAGTTCAGATTTTTTTTATTTTATAAACGTTTATATATGTAAAAAAGTGTTAAGTATTAAAATCTGATTTGCGCAACAGTTACGGTATGTTCGAGAAAGGGTAATAGCAGGGATAGCTTAATGTCAAATCTACCGGGAAATGCTTCTGTATTGTCAAGTAAATGCCTTTAAATAGCTGAACATTAATTGTAAGCTATGAATTTTATAAACATTTCCGTATTCATATTTACTTTAACATTTTTTTGGGGTAGATTATCTGTGCACTCGTTGATTTCTGCAACAATGTTTTTGCTAAATATACTTGAACCACGCCTGCCAAATCAACGTACGGCTCAGTATACGTACAGAAGCCCAAACGTTCGGTCTGCTCGTTGCATTAAGGACCACGACCCCCACGCTGAACAATTGACCATACTTCACCACGCCGGTCACTTGTGGAGGGGCTGGTGAAGGTTTTTGCAACGGAGGCGTGCGAGCATAGAAGTGCATTACAACGGATTTTGCTTACACCGCCCTCTGCTGTTCACAATGTATGTAGCCACGCAGCAGCAGCAGCAGCCAATTGCTCCGTGTCCTGGTAGTGATGGCCCCATCCAAGCCATAGCCAGGCTGAAACGCCTGCTCAGCTTCTGAGATCCGATGAGATCGGGCGCATTACGCGGAATTAGGGCATCGGATTTATGTTTTTTTATAGTGCGATATAAAAAACGTATGTTTCACGGGACACCCGAGTTTATTTTGAAATTTCGAAAGATGTGAACATTGTAGGGAGAATTGTTCATTTTTTTGCCAGCTAGGTGCACATTATCACCGTTTAAATTCATATTTTTTATTTTATTTAGAGTACCACCTTTGCTCAGGAAAACCTCAAAACGTGTCCAGACGCATTGCGTTGGGTGGAGGCCAAAGTGCCCAGAGAAAACCTGCACATAATAAGGGTGTAGCACTCAAAAGCCCTCACAGATTGGTACAGAAACCCAATTTGCTGTGCTCCAACCCATTACCCACCGCACTCGTAGCTCCGGTGAGTTTGGGAGTTGCACGTAAAAAAAATCTCAGCCTGATCCACCAGCCCTATGCCTCCAATGCGCCAGAGGCAAGTGTTGTGTGGTCTGTGACAGGCACTATGTTTGGCTAAGTAGTTTGGCCTTGAGGCAATACAGTATATGGCTAGGTCAGCTACCAATTAATTAATTATGTAAGCTCTTTCTGTTTACTGCCCAACCCTGCAGGGATAACAGCAGCCCCGAGGACAACATATGGCGGGGAATCATCTTCGTCACCGTTTTCTTCCTCATCGTCAGCATCATGGCCTTCCCCAATGGTGAGAGTCACAGCTCTCCCACGCGTTTTGGGTTGTACCGGAAGAAGCCCCCAGCACGTGCAGTGAAACGTCGGACATCACCCCGAACAACACGCTCAAAATCTCTCCAATGCGTTTTTTTTCCTGGTCGCACCTCGTGTTTTTGGCATGATGTCCCAAAGTTTCCGCTGCTCATGCCGAGACCTTTTTTTTCTGGAACCGAATGGAGCATTCTCCATCGTTTATGTAACGTTGGCAGCTGCTTTTGGTGTCATCGGCTGACCTATATCAAACACCAGCAGAAGCCGAATTGGCAGTATTTTTCCACTGCCAATCCACTTTGTCAATCAACTTTGTCAATCAACTCTAGTGGATAACATTTCCCAGGGCGTAATCTCTCAGAATATTTTCCGAGTCGCTGGTAGACTGTGGTAGGTGGGGAATGTTGGATGTGGTGTGCTGGGTGCGTAAATATTTTCCCGGTCACTGACCTGGACAAACCCGGCTGAAATTAAGCCCTAAGAATCTCCATCTGATGGACAAAAGTTTATGCGCAGCGGGCGGGAGTGTTGATGTGTGTCTGCGTGTCACATTACAGGTCCCTTCACGAGACCTCACCCGTCCATATGGCGCATGGTGTTCGGTGAGTCATCCCTCTCACCTCATCCTCACACCCGCAACCCCACATGGTTTCATTTTGGTAACCCTGATTTCACCAGATAAGAGCCCGGTGAGTTTCATCAGTAAAGAGTGTGTGTAATATAGGAGCCTTGATAGGAAAACACGGGTCACAGCGCGTTATTCACGATCGGAACGTTGTGAGCTAAATTCCCCGAAATATAATGGTCAACTCGGCTGATCTCCCTGCATCCTGGGCTAAAAAAAATTAGCACCCAATTTTTGAAAACACTCAAGGAATGTCAACAGTGGTTATCATTTTAGGGGAATTTGGAATATCCACCACTGGCTCAGAGCTACCAACAAAGATGACAATCGTTTCAGCACAGATAAACCGTGACTTCACATACACAGGGGGTAGGCGCCAATGACCAAATTACCCAGAATACGTCCCATCTCATCAGATCTCAGAAGCTGAGCTGGGTTAAGCCTGCCTGTATCTGCACGTGTACGTGTGCCTATTAACATGTGTTTGAACGTGTGTGTACGTACGTTTGTGTAGCAGCACGCTGCTGTGCTATGAACCTGGCAACCCGAGTTCAATTCCCACTCGTGGCCAACACCAGTGATGAATATTTGAGCCAGTGCTAGGCCTCCCCTAGGTCGATTCAGCCTGAAATGAGTACCTGGTGCGATGTCTAAAAATCAGCACTGGAGAGACAATGGCGGCTGGCCGTGGTGCTGGCCATCCACCCCCTCATATGCCGTGCTGGCCTTCACAGATGCGAACAGCACTTGTCCCAACAGTCTTATAAGGCTATACCGGGGATCTTTGTCTTTGTACGCACACGTACCCATATGTGTGCGCTCGTCTGCAGGCATGAGCGTCCTCTACTTCCTGTTCCTCATATTCCTGCTCTTCCTCAACCCGGAGCAAGTTAAGGCCATCATGTACTGGCTGGACCCGGCGCTTCGTCACGCCACGCGCGAGGCTGACATCATGGTACAGTGTCTCCCGATCTTTCCCTTTCGGTCCCACGTGCACAGCACAGACACAGACATTGTGAAAATGCAGATAAAGCTATTATTGTAAGAGCATCGGCGCCAGCGCTCTGCAGACACCAGTGATGCCTGGCTCAGGATGGAGTGTCTCTACTGAGCCTAGAGAGGAGGGTATCTCTGCTGAACTGAGAGAGCAGAATGTGTTTGCTGAACCCATGGAGGCAGATTGTGGCTGCTTAACTGCGGGCAGTGTCCTGACTGAACCCAGATGAGAGAGTGTCTCAGCTGAACCTAGAATGGAGTGTGATCTATCCTGACACAGTCATCTGTGGTTATTTTTTGCGTGTGTGTGTGTGTGCGCACGTGTGTTTTCTTTGCATATGTACGTGCATGTCTATGTATGTGCATGCACGTTGTATGTCTGTGCACGTATGCGTCTGTGCGTGTGTTGGGCATGCGTGTCTTGAGTTTGCGCACTTACGTTGGTACGTGTGCACAAATGTGCGTGTTCGGACATCTGCACACATGCTCGTGTGTCTGCGTGCACCTGTTGGCATCTGTGCGTTGGTGCACATCGTTAGTTGTGCAATAGTTCTTAGGCACCCCGTACTCGATCTCTGCAATGTTGACGTTTTGTTGCTGCTGTGCTCGCGCATCACGGATCTCCCGTGTGAAGTGGCCTGGCAAATAGCCAAATGGGACCATCATCCGTGTGACAAATAAAAATAAACTCAAATAAATAAATACAAGAGTATGCTGCACGTGCATGCACGTATAAAAAATTGAGAATCGGAACTTTTATCTAGACTGGAGGAATCCATCCAACGAGCTATGAAGCTCTTCACAGGTGTCCAGTAGGGGCGGGCTAGAAAGTTACAACAAAACAAAAACCACCCCCCAGCATAACAGGGAGACAGAGAAGAAAACGTTTTATCCCGTAGTCTCTACATGTATAAAACACAATCACTTCTCCACTCATGCGTCTGTCTTGCGTGCACACGCAAATGTTTCACCCGTGTATCTTCACTCGTGTTTCTTCTCTGCTTGCGTGCGTGCGTGTGGCAGGAGTACGCCGTGAACTGCCACGTGATCACGTTGGAGAGGATCGCGAGCCACTTCGATGTGTTTGCGTTTGGTCACTTCTGGGGCTGGGCCATGAAGGCGCTCGTCGTGCGGAGCTACGGCCTCTGCTGGACTATCAGCATCACCTGGGAGATGACCGAGGTGCCGCAGAGCTTCAGGGTCGACACTTGCAGGGACTTGGGAGTTTTGTCGAGGTTAGGTATCTCTTTAAAGGCCGGGGGTCCCCTTAGTCTCTTGAGGCTAGTTACAGGTGGTTATACACAAGCTATTTATCATGCTGAGCCAGATCCAAAACCTAACAGGACATCTGAAACGACTCGGTAGGGGGTGAAGGGGGGAAGCAGGGCCAGGGCTGGCTATGGACGAGTTCACTGTGACGTCGGTCATTTCCTTGGACAGAAGCGTAAATTGATTTCTTGTCCATCGAACCAGATTAGTCGCCAAGGGATATAGTTTAAAATAGATTACGCGCTGGCGTAACCACAGCAGTTTTTTCTTGCTGTTGTCCCACCTGATGGCGATTGCTTGTGTTGCAATCGAAACGTCGTGATCTCTCGTTATTTTTTTCTACCTACGTCCTCGCTCGCTCCGGTGCTTCACCCGAGCGATGTCGTGCTCGCGGGATGGAGTAGGGAGCACAGAGCGACGGCTGGGAGACGGGAGGGGGCAGTGCGCCTCGCAGGGTTGGGCCTGGAAGGCGATGGAAAGCACGAAGGGAACGCCGTTAAAATAAAGAATTGAAAATAATGTCTTTAATAACTTTAGGAAGAAGAAGGAATAAAGAGGAACTTAAGAAGCTAGATGAAGGGAGGTTCAACGATGGGGGATTATGGTGGGTAACATGGTGGGGAGAACTACAGGGGGAGGGTGAGAAATTGCCTGCTGCCTGTGTTGGGTACGGCGTGAACCCACGATCCCCTGTATACCTGGCGAGGTAGTTAACATCTTGCCACCGTGGAGCCCACTGCGTTCGTCTCAACGCATTCATTGCACGCGACGTCAGCGGTGCGGCTCGGCTTCTGCAGTGGAAAAAAAACAACCTGGTTCCTTGCATAGTTGGTCATAGAGGTTGTTTCACTGTACTTTATTGTCTCGTTGGGTGCACATTAGTCGAAGGGGTCGAGGCCAGGACCTCTTCAGGTATCGCTTACTGTTGATGTTAGTCATGGCCGGGAATCGAGCACAGGGCTGTGGGTTCATAGCGCAGTGCGGGATCTTCCGCGCCACTGCACTTGCGTGCATGTGTCCTACGTGTGTGTGTCGCAAATGACATAGATGCAACTCTCAATTTTAGTTGGTGGTATTATCAGCATCACGTAGGTCACGTTTACCAATCACAATTCTCGTAGAGCACGTGACGACCTAATTTTTCATTTGGTCGTCTCCATTACAATTGAAGAGAAACAATAGACGGTGGGGTTTATAACGCAGTGCGTGAATAGCTCTGCCACCACTACCCTGCCCTTTATTAAAAGTAATGTTGGTTATGTAGTCAAGTGCGTCCGTCCGTATGTAGTAATAATAGTGAGTGCTTTTGTTATTCGCGCCATTCTTATAGCGCAAGGCTATCATGACGGTGTTGTGTTTCACAGATGGGAATAGCCTGCACGTAGCAGCATAGGCTGCTACGTATTTTTCAAATTGAGTAATTTGTGGGTAAGTTTTCAAACTTGTCCAAATTTTTGACCTGTGATGCCGGCGCTTTGGGTGACAGATTTGTGCCAGAAATGCGCCATGTGTTTAAGTAAAAATAAAATTGACTTGCCTTGACTTAGCACGCATTGGCTGACTACTTAATCTATTTTGAATAATGTCACACGATCTTGGAACGTCCATTGGGAAGTCGACAGCGTGTACTTTTGGGTTAATACACCTGCAGTATTGACGTGCATGTGTAAACGTGTTCGTGCATGCGCATGCAGTTGTTCTTCATGCACCTCCTGCCCAACTTCGCCGAGTGCTGGTGGGACCAGGTTATCCTGGACATCATCCTGTGCAATGGTGGTGGCATCTGGCTGGGCATGGTGGTCTGCTACTATCTGGAAATGAGGACCTACCGATGGGAGAGCGTCAAGTAACCACCGCATACAATCGGCCTGTAACGCAGTCACTCGCACAGCCAGCTGGGTAGATGCCGACTTAGCCAACCCCCGAGACATTCAGCCACACCGCGAGCCAGCCAATCTCTCGCCCACACGGTTACTCGCTCACTCAACATGCAGCCAGCCGGCCACACAGTCAGCCATCCAACCCATCGTCCACATGGTTACTCGCTCACTCAACCACACATCCACTCAGCCCCACAGCCACTCACTCAGCCAGCAAGTCAGCCACACAGCCAGCCAGTCGACCACCCATCCACCCAGCCAGTCACACACACAGCCACTCGCCCAGCCACACAGCCACCGACCTACTCAGCCAGCATCGCAACGTCACACACCATTTGACATTCTCTCGTCGTGTGGCTTGAAACATAAGTAATAATCTTTGCTAATTGAAGACTTCCGAGGGGAAGCGTATTATGGAATGCATTATGGAACCCATTATTTTTCTTCCACATTTAAATTTCGACTTTAAAGGCCACATCCTGACACATTCAGATGTGAGCAACGGTTCAGCTCCATGCGCCGCTAACCATTTAATCGTGGCTCTGTTGATCCCTTGACCCGCAACCTGCCACCCCCACTCCCTACCCATCGCAGGGACATCCACAGCACGACGGGCAAGATCAAGCGCGTGGTAATGCAGTTCACGCCGGCGAGGTGGACATACGTGCGTTGGTTCGACCCCAAGTCCTCTTTCCAGCGAGTCGCCGGCATCTACCTCTTCATGATCATCTGGCAGGTGAAGGGGGAGCGGGGAGTTGGGGGGGAGGTGTGGAAAGAAGAGCCACCTCATTTTCGCAGAAACACCCGTGGAGGCCATCTAAAGGGCTGTCTGCCCCGCGGTTGTCATGGTTGTCGATTGCTGTCAGCCAGGGCTAAGTTTCCCATCGAATATAATCCGGCCCACTGAAGAACTGGGGTGTGCGTCATATAGCCATAGTCATTGTTGGAGGCATACTGGATGTCGTGTGTGCCACAACTTTCTCCAGATCACCGACCCGGACAGATCCAGCTGAAATTAAAGCCCTGCTCACCAGTGCTTCAGATGAGGTTTTGGGTTTTCGTAAAAAAAAGTTTTACCCATGACACACCACGAGAAGCGGGCATGGAATGATCGTGTTTGTGTGAGTAGGGTGTAGTGGTGGTGAGAGGTTGTTCAAACTAAAACTATTTTTACTTTATCAGGTAAGGCCCACCGAGCTATGTAGCCCTTTTTCAGAAGCGACCTGCCCACAAATGATAGCTCAACGAAGTGGGTTATCATGTGGAAATTTGTAGCAGCCAAATAATCTAAATACAATTTTCTAAATGTCAAGGAAAAAAACCGGGGGACCTGGAGAAAAATCCATATGGCCACGGGGAGAACATGCAAACTCAATAAATGCAGGCGTCACGGTCGGTTTCAAACCCACGACCTCCTGCATACCAGGCGAGGTAGTTAAGATCTCGCCACCGTGGTGCCCTAAAGCGTTAAAGCAATGAACATAACAGACATGGTGTGCAAAGTTTCTGATTGGTTATTACTCCTCGAAGAAAAAGTTGGGCAAAATGGCAGACAGGGCAAGATGACCGGGAAAGGGAAGGGATGCCGCCGGGACGGAAGTCTCGAAGACAGAAAAAGAGGGCAAGGCAGGAAGGGGAGGAAGGGGACAAGAGAATGGCCGGGCCAAGATGTCGGGGATGAGAAGGTGGTGATGAGAGTAAAGGGAAGAAAGGGAGAGAGAAGCGAGGAGCGAGCAGAAGCGAGCTGCACGGAGCGGTGTCTGTTTTCACCGGGGGCGGCGGGGAGAGATGAGGGATTAAAAACGGGGGTGGGAGGCTTGAGCTGATTTAGACACGCAGATATAAGGTCACGTTTGCGCGAATGATCTCAACCACTCATTCAAAGTCTTTGAATCTTAAAAAACCACACAAAGATGTTGGAAAATCATCACTTGTGTCGCGGACCGAATGTTGTTGTTGACGTGTCTCCGTGTGTGCGTGGCGCGTTGCATTGTGTTCCAGCTCACGGAGCTCAACACCTTCTTCCTCAAGCACATTTTCGTCTTCCAGGCGGGGCACCCAATCAGCGTCGGGCGCATTTTCCTCATCGGCATCATCACAGCACCAACCGTCAGGTCGGCACCGCACCGGCACCACCGCGGTTTTTACAGACCCATTCCGTTCTCCCCCCCCCCACCCCGGTCTCAGTGTCGCTGTGTATGTACGTTTGTGTGTGTGTTCTGAACTGGTCCTGGGCCTCACCTAGGTCGACTCAGCCTCAAATTAGTAGCTGGTGCGGTGTGTAAAAATATCGCGACTGTGGAGACAAAGGCGGCCGGGCGTGGTGCTGGCCACCCACCCCTTCGTGTGCTGTGCCGGCCTTTTATAGGTGCTCATTAACAGCACTTACCCGAACAGTCTGTTAAGGCTATACAGGTGATCTTCATCTTTGTGAGTGCATAGATCAGCATGGTACACCTGCCAGTCATCTTAATCAGTCAACCTGTAAAACCTTCGGTCCGTCCCATGACCTCCTGTTCTCAGTGAGCATTCCACACCTTGTGCGATCGTCTCAAACGGCGCCTGGCCTGACACAAGCGCCGTGGTGACATCACCGACGTTTAGTGGAGAATGGCGGCAGTCGTTTTGTGTGGACCGGGTTCAGATATCAGTCTCCACTGACGTGATGTAGTTTATCCATAATAGAGGGGGGGGGGGGGTTTAAATTATGAGACCACCTTTGCCAGTAACAAGATATAGTAATAGGTTTTACCCTTTTAACTGGCACAAAAAAATGACACCTTTATTCAAGGCATCATGTTTGCAATAAGCACAACAGAAGCAGTGGAGACTAGGCTCTAAAAAAAGCTGTCTCGGGTGTGGACCAATCAAATTCAAGGACAGTGCATATTATTATCAGAGTTGTCTCTTTTGTTTGCATTTTGACTGCTTGTGTTGTGGTTATTGCAAACATGATGCCTTGAATAAAGGTGTCAGTTTTTTTGCCAGTTAAAAGGGTAAAACCTATTACTAGAGGGGGGTTTTTTTTGGGGTTAGATCGTGTTAATATATTTATATGATATTTATATATTTCGATTTAAAGCTTTCGTGACTGCAATGATTCATCTTCTTTGGTTCTTTCGGTAAAGTCACGTAGAATGAGAATAAAATAATAAATTGATAAAATAAAATAACACAATAATATTCTCACGACGTTTCGGCCACAACACAAGCGGCCTTCATCAGGTGAAGGGAGCGAGACTGTCTGGTAGGACAGCGCTGGAGTGAGTGAGAGAGCCAGCTTAAAAGCCGTGATCTGAACGTGGCTCTCTCACTCCAGCGCTGTCCTACCAGACAGTCTCGCTCCTTTCACCTGATGAAGGCCGCTTGTGTTGTGGCCGAAACGTCGTGAGAATATTATTGTGTTATTTTATTTTATCAATTTATTATTTTATTCTCATTCTACGTGACTTTACCGAAAGAACCAAAGAAGATATTTATATATTTACGCGATCTAACCCGAAAACAAAAAAAAACCTGGATGATATTGGTCGCGAAAGCCTACGTGTTAAAGTGATGTAGCTTGTTTAAAATATTAATGATGATGATGATCATGACGACGATCGCCGCTGATTTCGCGAGCTGCCTGGACGGATCGTTTGATTGCAAAACTGCTGGGGATGACGACGGCTCGAAGACACCTTCATCCAGCAGTGGGTAGATCTTGTCTGACGATGATGTGTGTGTCTTGGCGTGTGCGCTGCAGGCAGTACTATGCGTACCTCACGGACACGCAGTGCAAGCGCGTGGGCACTCAGTGCTGGGTTTACGGGTGAGTCTCTGCCGTTTTTCGCACTTTTTTTTTTATTGTGCCAGGTAAGGGCCCGCTGAGCTGTACAGCGCTTTGTCAGAAGCGACCTGGCCACAAATGATAGCTCAACGAAGTGGCTTATCATGTGGAAATGTATAGCAGCCAAACACTCTTTAAGCAAATGTTAATTCTGAATGTGGAGGGGAAAACCAGGTAAGGGCCCACTGAGCCATATAGCCCTTTGTCAGAAGCGACCTGGCCACAAATGATAGCTCAACGAAGTGGCTATTCATGTGGAAATGTATAGCAGCCAAACACTCTTTAAGCAAATGTTAATTCTGAATGTGGAGGGGAAAATCAGGTAAGGGCCCACTGAGCTATATAGCCCTTTGTCAGAAGTGACCTGGCCACAAATGATAGCTCAACGAAGTGGCTTATCATGTGGAAATGTATAGCAGCCAAACACTCTTTAAGCAAATGTTAATTCTGAATGTGGAGGGGAAAACCAGGTAAGGGCCCACTGAGCTATATAGCGCTTTGTCAGAAGCGACCTGGCCACAAATGATAGCTCAACGAAGTGGCTATTCATGTGGAAATGTATAGCAGCCAAACATTATTTAAGCAAATGTTAATTCTGAATGTGGAGGGGAAAACCGGAGCACCTGGAGAAAAATCCACACGACCGTGGCGAGAGAACATGCAAACTCCAAATATACAGCAGGCGTCAGGGTCGGAATCGAAACCACGACCTCCTGCATACCAGGCGAGAGATTTAACATTTTGCCACTGCGGCGCACTTGAGTTCAATCCCCAGATTGACTGCTCTGCCATTCGCAGTGGACCCCTTAATTGTTAAGCACGTAATGCTTTCATAAATTAAAATCTTATCCTCGCGATACGCGTGTCGAATAGCGCTTCGATTATTTCCGATTTGCGTTGGGTGGCGTCGGGGGTTGTGGGGGGAGGTGCGAGGGTTTGTGGCATTGCTTGTAGTTTATTCCACGTGGTCCCTACGACCATCAGAGGTGTGTTGCATTTACCACAGTCACGAGTCCGGGACGTGACGATAGAGGGGAGGGGCGAATAATCCACCCTTCCATCCAATTGTCTCTCGCTTCCTATCCTGACAACCATCATCCATCCGTCCGTTCACTGTCTGTACATCTCTCTGTCCATCCGTACATCTATCTGTCTGACTACACTTTAAATATTTGTGAAAACTACTCAACCCAAATTGGTGAAGTATGGTTTAACAATCGCCATGACTGACACAGTATGGGGAGTCCTTCATACAGCAGTGGATTGACAAAAGGACTGGTGATTTGTACTGTTATTATTTATTATATGATATGTAAATACCAGTTTTCATCTGTCCACATGTACAGTGACACGTGTTTTAGCTCACAGGGCTGATTGGCTAGTGGCATTTGGTGAAGCACGCAAACGCTTGACGTTGTCCATGGCTGGGAATCGAACTCGGGTTAGAGGGCAGCGTGTTAAAAACACTGCACCGGCGATCCCCTCCGATATAAACACATTGCGTGTACTATGGCCGAAAAGTAGACCTGAATCAGATTTGGTGCGGTGCAGTTACTGGACTTGGCCAGGAGAAGGGGCTTTGCTCACACGTTCGAATTACACCACGCTTCACTTAATAAGCTGGCTTTATCTGAGCTGTTCTGCCGTGCTACGTCAAGTCCTAATCTTTATCCCACACCCCAATGCAAGCCCTCATTAATGGGAATGACCAAACATCCCATGGCAGCATGTCCTTTCTCAATAAGAGTCCTGAGACTCGGCGAGACCTTTTCGTTGTAAATAAATAACTGGCAACGTTATCATCATTAATGTGTGCATGTATGTTTAACTTGTCTCATGCCGTATGTAGTGAACCGTGCTGATCGGAGGTGCAGGGGAAGGACATCACACTCAACGCAAAAAAGCAGTTATAAAGAAATGAGTTTCCAATTTATATGATTTAAAAGTGCATAGTTCCAGTGGCTTCCTAATATCGGAAGGAAGAGCGTTCCAGACGGCCGCGGAAGCGCATCTGGAAGCGCGCGATGCAGTGACCGTCTTTGTTCGATGGCCAGCCAGAAGCCTCTGCGAGGATGAATGGAGTTCATGTGACGGTTTATGCTCCTTGATGAGATCTACTGGGCATTTGTGAAAAAAGAGCTTCATAGCTCATCGGATTCCTCCAGTATACACACATATTCTGATTCGATCGAGAGGTCGCCGGTTCTGTCTCCCAGCGCGAAAGTTGAAACGATGCAACAAATATCTCAATCCATCCCCCCGCACCACCATCTCTGTTCACCAAGGCATTATGAACGGGTTACTCCACAGTTGATTGGCAGGTCGTGGGGTGAAGTGTGGCTAATCCCACCTCTTCAAAGACGTTTGGCCAGTCTGAAAGAGTCAGGCAAATACCCTCCACTAGAGGGGCTCTTCTATAGAGCTCCATCGTGTGGAGGCCCTTCCACTAGCAGTGACGTGAGCTAAGCAGTTGCAGGGCTCCGTCTTTACACGCGTTACCCTGTCCCGTCGCGCTATGCCGTGCGCCTTGCCTGCAGAGCGATCGCGTTCCTGGAGGCGATCGTTTGCATAAAGTTCGGCAAGGAGCTGTTCTCCAAGACGCAGGTCATGTACGTGTTCCTGTGGCTCGTGTGCATCGTAAGTAGCGGCTGATCGTTACACTTGCACGCACGTCATGCACACACACACACACAACACCTTATTGCCGGTGCATCGCTCTCACCTCTTTCCAAGTTGTCTGGCCAACGTGGAGGAGAGTAGAGAGAGAGATGAGAGGGGAGTGGTAGGAGGTTACGTGGGGTAAATGGTGATGATGATGCTGATGTATTATTAAGACCGGAATGTCACGTGTGCTGCGTGTTGCCCCGCCCGCCCCGCAGGCCTTCATAACGTTCGCGTGCCTCTACGTGATGGTGGCGTACGCCGACTGGGCTCCTACTCGCGAAAAGGTACACCGAGATCGAGGTTCGCGTCCGCGAGGTCATCAGCGCCAACGTCGTTGATGCCCACCCACGCTCGATCCCTCCGCCGTTGCACAGTCAACACACGTTGCAGCCTCACGGTCGCCACCGTTCACGCACTAGGAGGAGCGATGCCAGAGGGCCGCAAAGGATGCCAGAATGGAGGCCAGAGGAGTGAAGGAACACCGATTCCGAGAGGGCCGACCGTCATGGAGATGGAGCGTTGAAATCCGCTCATGCGCAGGGGCCACAGACCCGTTGCACTGCGAGACGGGGAAACGTGACGACAGCTTATAGAGGCCCTCATGCAGCAGTTGATGGACCATGGCTGGTGATGATTATTCATCACTTTCATCATTCGAATTTTCCACATGAGATCATCGCCACGATCACCAAGTGGCTTGTGTGTAAGTAATAATAATAATAACGCTACGCCGCAGGTGGTCACGGTTTTGCTGCTGCTGTGTAGCTCTCTCCGATGCATTTTCGGGTCATACCGCGTGTTGTCCTGCACGACGTCCGACGTTTCGCTGCATATGCCGGCAGCTTCTGCAGGCACTGAATTCTCAAGATGCTGCCAATTCAAGTCGCCCTTCCAGGCACTGTCAAGGTTCAACCCTGATAAGCGTCTGCTAAGCTCTGAAGTGTGACGAAATTGGCCATAATAAGTTGACCATAATAAGTTGTCAATTTTAGTCTGTTGTCCTTCCCCCGCACCTGATTAGCACGGTTGGCAACATACGGTGTGAAAGAAGTTTAACGTACACACATACATTATTACTATTATGAAACAATTCCCTGTATGACTATGCACAGCAGAGAATGAGAAGTTTTGACAGGTGACTTAGCAAACAATGTGACTGGACCAGGCGATCGCATGAGAGCTTTCACAGCTTTTGTGAGAAATTTAAATGTGAGGTGGGTGGCTCACGATGGGCCCCCGTCAGAGCCACCGAGCCGGCAAGGCTAAAAAAAAAAAAAAATCCGAGTTCGAGTCTAGGCACGCCACCACCTGTGATGTGGTTGACAAGTTTGATGAGAAAAAAAATTCCCTTTCGAAGCCAACGATCAGCGCGTCATCGTTTGTTTCAGAAAACGAGGCTTTATCAAAATGAGGAAATTGATTTCTAAGATGAAAAAAAAAGTACTCGTATGAATGATGATACGGTTTTCAGCACTTTGTATCTGCTTAGCTTTTACGCATATATTTACACACTTTTTTATTTCTGCCGTGATGTAATGGTTACAAAAATTAAGAAAATGTTTAACGTTCAAGTCAATGATTATCTCTGAAAAAACGAGGAATGAAGGCAGAAGGCATCTCCTTTGAGAGCCCGAAGCCAACACCATCATCAACATCTTCTTCCATGATCAATGATGAAGGCCTCCCTAAGCCATCATCATCTCTCCTGGTACCTATTTTATCAGCTACAATGTGTTTGTGGGCTCAGTCGCCCCCTGGGCATCTCTGGTCAGAGCGCTCCGCATGTTGACAAAAACTAATTCCACTTTGCGGGGAGATGGCAATATTTGTAAGACGGGAATAATTGCCATTGCCATAGTAACTAGGCATTTCCATTGCTTGCTCAGAAACGGCCCAAATCGTGGACACTAGTTTTGTTTCTTGATCGGGGGCGTCTGATTTGAGTGGAAAAGTGGTCACGTGGTCGGCACGTGATTGGCCACCGTGTTGTTTTCCAGTCTCTGTCGGAGTGCGAGGACTCGGTGGGCTACATGGACTCATCCCCAGAGAACTCCATCATCGAACTGAAGGGTGAGCTCAGTGCTGCCTTTTCGTCTGCCCCGCCTCTCTTCCCTGCCTCCTTGCTGTCTGTTTTTCCACTCCGGTGCCTGCCGGTCTGTGCGTCTCTCTCTTTGTGTGGCAGCCTGCTGGTCTGTGTCTGTCTTGCTCTTTATTGGTCTGTCCACCTACCTGCCTTCATGCTTGTCTTTTTGTCTGCCCGTCTCTCTCTCTCTCTTTCTGTGTCTTTTCTATCCATCTGTTTAACAATCTGTCCTTTCTGCCTGTGTCTCTATTTGTCTGTATATGTGTCTGTCTGTCTGCATCTTTGTAGGCCTGTCCACCTCCCTGCATTCCTCTCGTCTGTCTCTCTCTCTCTTCACCTGCGTGTCTATTTATCTGCATGTCCATTTATCAGTCCTGCCTGTTTGCCCGTCGATTTGTACATCCTCCACACTGGTATTTCTCACCCCCGCCACCCTCCACAACCTCAAACTTCAAAATAAACATCCTCTCAACTCATTTGACCGTCCCGCCCCCACAGATAGCAGACAGGACATACAGGAGAAGCCTGACCCGGTCGCGCTGAAAAAGACTCTGTGAAGTGCGCAGTCATCCGATCGCCGTGATGGCGGCGATGAAGGGTGGTGGTGGCCGTGGCGACGATCGCGACGAATGGTGGAAGGCGAGTTGCCTGGGTTGCACCACTTTGCTCCAACGTTTCGCGATTATACAATGCACACTGTGAAAGGAGAGGCGAAACACGAGCTTTAGCAGTTAAGAGGTCAGGTGACAAATGCGCTGCTGTGTTTGCATTTTTACCCCGGACTGAGGGCTTTAACTTTTTCCGGAAAGCTGTCCGGGGGCAGCGACCCATAAAATACCACCTCGCCCGGCATACCACATCCAGGATACCATTTACTTGTTTCCAGCAGCTTTGACCGCGACTGGTCACGTGCCGCCTACCACGTTCTACCAGTGACCCATTAAGCCCTGCTCCGAATCAGTTTAAAAAAAAAATAATCAAATATGACACTTGACCGTCAGACATTTTTCATAGTTTTTATAGGTTTTTTCCAATTGTATGTTATTATTGTATTTTTTGTTAGTGTTACAACTGCACTGTTCTCTAGTATTAATTTTCTTTTATTGTTGATCCATCTCATCATTGCCACCGACAATCGCAACTGTTACGGGCTTTCCACGTTCCTTCTTGTTGGGGATCTTCGTCATCACCGTCATCGTCGTCGTCATTAATAGGTGCGGTTAAGTTGAATATCACTATGCCGAATTGGTTGCAGCCAGGGTGGGGTTATGATTAGCGTATGGGGCTTGTAATCCGGAGGTCACCAGTTCGATTGCACCTCCTGGCGCGAACAGCTGAAATAATGGAGGCGAGTTTCTTAAACTGCTTCTACCCCCCTCCACCTCTGTCCACCCAGCAATGTAAATGGTTTACACCTAAACTAAACTATTTTAAGTTTACCAGGTAAGGCCCACTGAGCTCTTTAGCTCTTTTTTGTCAGAGCAAATCCACAACATTTACAATCTCAATCACACCGGTGTGTTGTACTCGTAACGAATTGGCATGTTTTGTTTACGGGACACACCTTACTAATTGGCTGTCGGGTGGTGGCGGGTTTAACGACACATTTTTATATTTGCGCAATTTAACCCCCCAAAAAACCTGTACTATGGATGATATTGGTTGCGAAAACCATTTTGATCAATTATTTGGAACGAATCGTGGCCCAGAGTTGTGACGAATCTTCGCATCTCTGGTGGCGGTGGTGGGTGGGTGGGCAGGGAATGGGTGCAGAAGAATCGCCACGTGACTAAATTAAATGTATTGACTTTTAACCAACGAATTTCTCTCAGGTTATCAGTAGTTAGTTGTGTGTTTGCAAGGGGGGACCTTGCCGAAGGCCGACACCTACTGCTGCCGTGGGTTATGGGTTGAGAAATTGTCACGGAACAACTGCCACCGCCCAACAGGGCGGTCAGACGTTGGACTTCCTCGTCGTTTGAATGGCAAAAAAAAAGTCTCAAAGTAGGGAATTCTGCTTAGCAATTTGCTCCTCAGTGTGGGCATTGTCAGGCATTGCTTATACTGATCTACAATGAGTGGTACCTTGTGCTATGTAGGCATTGCCTGCAATGAGTAAGGTAATATAAAAAATGTCTACATTGAGCGATGCACATAGGTAATACCTCTACTGAGGGATACATTGTCATATAGGTAATACCACGGTGTTACCTATACCGAATACCAAGGTATTACTGTAGTGAAGGGTACATTCTAATTTAGGTAATACCACAGTCTAGCGTGCACTAAGCAATATTCTTCGGTAATATTAATTAATTGCCTGTACTAAGCAATAGCACTATAACCAGCCCGTGGTAATTTCTGATGTGTGTTGCTGTTATCGTTATTGCGTTCATCAGTAAGGTGCACAATGTGGCTGATGTTAAGAGACCCTGTCACATCATCGTTATCTCTGTGAGAAGTAGGGTCATTGTGGGGTGACTCACAGGGTTCATAATGGCAATGTCGGAGACACCGACCCGGCGCTACCGGGATCCTGGGTTTGAATCCGCGTCTCAGCCGCCCATGGTTAAACTGAGTTCTCGAAGTATAGAGAGTTGTTGGTCCCATAGAGACCCATAGGTTTACACAGAGACCCATAGACTCGCACATACTAAGTTGTGATTAAATCTGTCACTATTGATTTACACACAGACTTCTAGGCTTACACAGAGACCCATCGACGTGCATATATACTGCATTGTGATTAAACCGGGTTCTCAAGTGTAGCAGTGTTATGGTGTCAGCCCAGTAATGAATGATCAAACACAAAATAACCCCGTCGTGTTTAATGTGGGATGGGGCTCTATTCAATTTGCACCCAGCATGACGAGGCCAGATGTAACGTCCAACGAAACGTCCGTACCCATTTAAACTTTGCGAGATTCCTCTCCAGCAACTCCAGTGGTGCTGCCGACGTAGAGTCATACATTTGACACCCTTAGTTCACGGGACACTTCATTAATTGGCGGGGTGGAGGAGGGTGCACGACACAGATTTATACACGACCTAATCCCACAAGTAACCAAATGCGAATCGTAATATTGGTCGGGAAAGCCTCTGTATAAAAGAGATTGCCGATGATGATGTGATAACATTAACATCGATGATGATGATGACATGATAACATTAAAATTGATGACACTGATGATGACATTAATATCGATATTGACAATGATGATGCGGTTTGGATGTCGTTGGCAGTGTATTTATTTTTTTATAAGTATAAGATCCTGAAACGTGCGTCAAGTGTTTCTCGTCCCGATGCTGTCTCGTTTTATTGCAGTGTTTGTAGTTTGTCGACGTCATTTTTCCCCGATCTGCTCATCGATTATGTTACAAGAGTTGTCGCCAAAATTCGACCTAAATGTTTCCACTTAAATCGTTTATATTGCATGCATGTTGAACGTCTTTCGCACCATACGGAGTCAACTGTGCACAATATGAATTTCTGTTAGGCAATCACACTCCCAAGTTATCGCGACCGGCCCTGGTTCCAGATTTCCACTTGGTGGGTCCTTGTGTGTCTAAACACAGCTCTGGACCTGGGATTGGTCTGCCAGTTTTTTTTTTAGGTCCATGACTGTTTTTCTAAACGGGTTTCTGCCTCTGTTGAGGTCTCCTCATGTTACAGCTTCGTTAGCTCTCAAGTTTCATCCCTCAACTTCTTGCTGCTTTGATTCCTGTTTCGCTTCCAGGTTCCGGCTCTAGTTCTGAAATTGTATCCCAGAGTTAGTTGGGTCAGTAACTGTTGAGGGGTGTCCTGGAAGGAACACAGAGAAAACCTAGTAACTCACCCATATACCACTCAGATCATCACTCATACGACTCAGATCATCGCCCATATACGACTCAGATCGTCGCCCATATACGACAGATCATCACCCATATACGACTCAGATCATCGCCCATATACAACTCAGATCATCGCCCATATACGACAGATCATCACCCATATACTACTCAGATCATCACCCATATACGGCTCAGATCATCGCCCATATACGACTCAGATCATCGCCCATATACTACTCAGATCATCGCCCATATACGACTCAGATCATCACCCATATACGACTCAGATCATCGCCCATATACGACTCAGATCATCACCCATATACGACTCAGATCATCACCCATATAAGACTCAGATGATCGCCCATATACAACTCAGATGATCGCCCATATACAACTCAGATCATCACCCATATACGACTCAGATCATCGCCCATATACGACTCAGATCATCGCCCATATACAACTCAGATCATCGCCCATATACGACAGATCATCACCCATATACTACTCAGATCATCGCCCATATACGACTCAGATCATCGCCCATATACGACTCAGATCATCGCCCATATACGACTCAGATCATCGCCCATATACAACTCAGATCATCGCCCATATACAACTCAGATCATCGCCCATATACTACTCAGATCATCGCCCATATACGACTCAGATCATCACCCATATACGACTCAGATCATCACCCATATATGACTCAGATCATCACCCATGTACAGTGAGGGAAAAAAGTATTTGATCCCCTGCTGATTTTGTACGTTTGCCCACTGACAAAGAAATGATCAGTCTATCATTTTAATGGTAGGTTTATTTGAACAGTGAGAGACAGAATAACAACAACAAAATCCAGAAAAACGCATGTCAATGTTATAAATTGATTTGCATTTTAATGAGGGAAATAAGTATTTGACCCCCTCTCAATCAGAAAGATTTCTGGCTCCCAGGTGTCTTTTATACAGGTAACGAGCTGGTATTAGGAGCACACTCAAAGGGAGTGCTCCTAATCTCAGCTTGTTACCTGTATAAAAGACACCTGTCCACAGAAGCAATCAATCAATAAGATTCCAAACTCTCCACCATGGCCAAGACCAAAGAGCTCTCCAAGGATGTCAGGGACAAGATTGTAGACCTACACAAGGCTGGAATGGGCTACAAGACCATTGCCAACAGCTTGGTGAGAAGGTGACAACAGTTGGTGCAATTATTCGCAAATGGAAGAAACACAAAAGAACTGTCAATCTCCCTCGGCCTGGGGCTCCATGCAAGATCTCACCTCGTGGAGTTTCAATGATCATGAGAACGGTGAGGAATCAGCCCAGAACTACACGGGAGGATCTTGTCAATGATCTCAAGGCAGCTGGGACCATAGTCACCAAAAAAACAATTGGTAACACTATGCCGTGAAGGACTGAAATCCTGCAGCGTCCGCAAGGTCCCCGTGCTCAAGAAAGCACATATACATGCCCGTCTGAAGTTTGCCAATGAGCATCTGAATGATTCAGAGGACAACTGGGTGAAAGTGTTGTGGTCAGATGAGACCAAAATGGAGCTCTTTGGCATCAACTCAACTCGCCATGTTTGGAGGAGGAGGAATGCTGCCTATGACCCCAAAAATACCATCCCCACCGTCAAATATGGAGGTGGAAACATTATGCTTTGGGGGTGTTTTTCTGCTAAGGGGACAGGACAACTTCACCGCATCAAAGGGACGATGGACGGGGCCATGTACCGTCAAATCTTGGGTGAGAACCTCCTTCCCTCAGCCAGGGCATTGAAAATGGGTCGTGGATGGGTATTCCAGTATGACAACGACCCAAAACACACGGCCAAGGCAACAAAGGAGTGGCTCAAGAAGAAGCACATTAAGGTCCTGGAGTGGCCTAGCCAGTCTCCAGACCTTAATCCTATAGAAAATCTGTGGAGGGAGCTGAAGGTTCGAGTTGCCAAACGTCAGCCTCGAAACCTTAATGACTTGGAGAAGATCTGCAAAGAGGAGTGGGACAAAATCCCTCCTGAAATGGTGTGCAAACCTGGTGGCCAACTACAAGAAACGTCTGACCTCTGTGATTGCCAACAAGGGTTTTGCCACCAAGTACTAAGTCATGTTTTGCAGAGGGGT